TTTGTGCTAAGCTAAGCTAACCTACATCTTTAGAGTGGTATGAAAGAACAAACTTGGTGTGGAGTCCCATTTTCTAAACCCCTGTTGTGCATCCTCCCTCAGGTATGGCGGCGGTGTTGCCGAGAACCCTGGGTGAGCTGCAGCTCTACCGGATCCTGCAGCGAGCGAACCTGCTCTACTATTACGAGGCCTTCATCCAGCAGGGCGGCGACGACGTGCAGCAGCTGTGTGAGGCCGGGGAGGAGGAGTTCCTGGAGATTATGGCCCTCGTCGGCATGGCCAGCAAGCCGCTGCACGTGCGCCGCCTGCAGAAGGCGCTGCGGGACTGGGTCACCAACCCGGCCATCTTCAACCAGCCGCTCACATCGCTGCCCGTCTGCAGCATCCCTGTCTACAAGCTGCCCGAGGGCTCGCCCACGCTGCTCAGCGGGCAGGACCGAGCCAACACGGCCAGTGTCAAGATGCCCAAAGCCGTGGCCGCCGCCTGCTCCGACCCAGGGAAGCTGGATGTGGCACGGGACAAGGTGTCAGCCGGGTCACCCCTGCAGGGCAGCAGCGAGGCTCGATTCTGGTCGGGTCACAGCAACGACAGCGAGCACAGCCTGTCGCCGTCAGACCTCGGCTCCCCGTCCTCTCCGAGGGACGCGTTAGAGGCTCTGGACGCCGCAGCCGTCCAGTCAGTCCTGGAGTGTGTGGACAGGATGGCACCCGGACTTCCTAAGACAGACCTAGCTGAGGTCAAAGAGCAGCTGAAGAACAACAAGAAACTGGCAAAGATGATCGGACACATCTTTGAAATGAGCGACGATGACCCACGGAGGGAAGAGGAGATTCGTAAATACAGCGCCATCTATGGACGCTTTGACTCCAAGAGGCGGGATGGCAAACACCTGACGCTACACGAGGTTCACTACTGAAATTACCTGCTTGATAAAATCATTTGTCCTCAGATTCCTATTTAAGATTTCTGTGTTTTTTCCCTAAACTAACTTCTGACTCACTGTGTGTGATGTGCAGCTGACAGTGAACGAGGCGGCGGCTCAGCTCTGTATGAGGGACATGGCTCTGCTGACACGCCGAGACGAGCTGTTCGGACTCGCCCGCCAGATTTCCAGAGAGGTCACCTACAAATACACCTACCGCACCAGCAAGTAAGAGCTTGAACTGTCTGTTTTTGCCTTAATTTATGTTTCCAGCTGCATTCTGGAGCATCTTACCTACCTGAGGATGACCTATTTTGGTATTCATGCTGTTTGTACTTTTCACTGAAAAAAAGAAAACTGAAGGGGCCGACCCCAGCTGACAGGAAGTAGTTTTGAAGAAAACCCCTCTGTTCTGATGTATAAAGTCCTAAAGTGTATTTCCTGATGTTTCTCTGCAGGTCTCGCTGTGGAGACAGAGACGAGCCGTCCCCTAAAAGGATTAAAACAGAGGTAAGTGAAACAGCACTGCGGTGAGATTAAAGCCGTGCTCTGGGGGTATTAATGCTTATACAAGTTTGTGAAAACCATTAATATTATACAACCATATTTATTACAATATGGATTTGTTTTCCAGCGGATATGATAATTGATATTATATTTATAATAATATACATTTCCCATTATCAGGCGATACATTATCAGTCCTGATAATTATGGTGCATTGTCTTAAAACAATCAAAACTAGTTTAGTTACACAAAACAAGCAATTTGACGACACCTTAATCTCTGGGAAACTATTTGGGGCGTCACCTGTTTAACTGATGTTAAAATACAATGGAGGACTTAAATATCGACACATCTGTACATATTGCTGAGGATGTAAAGATGAAGGTTTGGCAGCTAGAGCTCCTCTGTGTGCGGAGAGGACACAGCAGCAACAGCCTTGAACAGAGTACAAAGCAACCTCTCAGTGTTCTTCTCCTCACACACTTGGCTGAGAGCTTTCTTTGAGCTCTGAATGGCTCCTCTCAGTTTGTAAACCAATGATCGAAAACATGTGGCGGCTGCGAGCTCTGCAGGGATTTCAACCAAGACGAAGAGCTGCAGATGAACAGACACCTGCTCACAAAAACTACTCTGAGCTCCCGAAAGGGGGGAATTCCTGCCAGATTTACTTAGAGGACGCAGTTCTGCAGAAACAGAAAAACTCCCAAAAATTCCAGTTTGTTTTTTCAGTTGTTTTATTATCAAAAGAAATGTAGACGTTTGGAAGTAATAATAGCACTGAGACTAATAATATGTTCCTAATCTGCCATTATTGGTACCACTGAGAATATAAAAATAACATTTTTGGATTGTCAGAGGTAATAATACTGGTACTTATATAAAATGTTTAATACATAACCATTATTTAAGTTATACTTTAAAAAAAATTGTGTTTATAAACGAGTCAAACAGAGAATGTAAAAAATATTTACATCGTGACAATGGCACATAAATATATGCATAAATTAATAAATAAAAGCAGCAATAATAGAGTAAAGTAGATTAAAATAAAGCACCTCAAGATTATAAAAGAAACTTTTAAGGAAAAATGAGATTTCCAGTAAAACCAAATCTATCAAACTATTTAAACAGAACATTTATACATATTATGAAGTAGAATCCATAGTTAACAATAATAACAGCTATAATAAATATATCAGATAATAATAATAATAAACTAACCACCCTTAATGCTGTCTCTCACAGCCTTAAGAATACTGACTTGATAATATCAGAACTATTAAAAAGATATTGTGTAATTTTAAAAAATCCTTCAAACACCCAGAATGTCCAGTACAGAGTCCAGTACTAAAATCTGACTCACGTGTTCTGCAGTGGCTCCCAACCAGTTTGGGTTCATTGTACAGTTTTAAATATAATACTGTATGTCACTGAGTCTGTTTACTACAAAAAAGAAAAGGTTGGGAACCACTGATCTACTGTTTTAACAAACAAACAATGAATTCCACTCAAAAAATGACAGCGATAAGGTTAAAGGTGAACTTTTTCTCTTCTTCAGGAGAACTTCTTTGACATCCAGGAGGCGCTGCAGGCCATCCACATGAGGCAGGAGATGCTGAGGGAGCAGCTGGCCTGCGCCAAGTCAAAAGGAGAAGAAACCGTCGGACGAAATCTGCAGGTAGGCAGACGAGTGAGATCAGATTCATGGTGAAAACTGTTGCCGTTTGATTGACTCCCCCAAAATCCCAAACCCACAGTTGTGTTTCAGAACATTAACGGGAAGATGGGAGGACGGGGGAGCAATAACAGAATGAGGGAGTGAATCTTTGAAGGCAAGGCGGTTTTATTTATAAAGCGTGTTTCACCCACAAAGGTAGAGTCAAGGTGCTGCACAGTGTAGTTAAAAGCAAGATAAAACAACATAATGCAAACAGAGAGATAAATCTATATAAAAGTAAGATAAAAAATAAGCTAAAAGAAGAAATAAATGGGAATTATAATAGCGCAATAATAATAATAATAATAATAATAATGAGTGTTTTTAATTCTTGTGAAGTGATTTGAAGGTCAATCCAAGCTGATTTTTTACAAACTCCACTAAGAATCCATTGAGTGAGCTGCAACTGACGTATAAGTGACAAACAGATGATCATTAAATCTTAAATAGACTACAAAGGCCTGTATCTCCGTGAAGGATTAACACATATTGTGTCTGTATCACAGCCTAATATAGTGTCTTCTTCCATTGTTGTAAACTCATTAATGAGCCTTACTGTTGTTCCTTCATTACCATGAACACACTGTAGTTTATTTTGACTCCGTCCTGCTGCCACAAATAGTCCCCAGTAAATGTAGTGTCTTTATTTATTTGATAAAGAACTACAGAGAGCAGCTGTTTTAGGAACTTACTGAGCCTTCTTTAAACATGAAACAACATATTTGTGAGGTGTTTTTAAAGGTTTTTCAGATTCTTCAGTAGGAACCGATAAAGAGCCACAAACAGGAAGTCAGAAAGT